ATGACATAAGCATCATCTACAAGAAGTGCTTCAGATTGTGAAGACAGGGTCACGGTATTGTTGAGGATCTCAAGCACTGAAGCTCCAGATCTGCTTTACTGGTAGTTTCTACAACACTTCAGAGTCCTGACCGGTCAGTTTGTTCCTTCTGTGTGTATGGCATGAAATATTCAAGACTGTGTTTATATCAGCACATTCTTCTCCAGATTTTGTATAAGCTTTTACTTTAGCTATTAAAAATACAAAGGCAGGAGATTTCTGACAAAGCCTACCATATCCTCTGTGTCACGTTTCCATGACAGGCTCTGTGACTGTGATTTCCACCTTGACTTTCTCAATCATTCAACTGGCTATTTCAACAATTCACAATAGTTCTGGCAGCCTAATTAAAGGCATGCCCTGATTTCTTTGCTCTGTGGGGTTTTTTCCCCCTTCCATTTTAGCACATGTTGATTGCTCTTATTATTTCACTTTCAGTTAATTATCTTCTTGACCTCCTGTTAAAAAAGTAACAATATCTCTCTTTTTGCTGAATGTGCAGAAATCTCAGCAGAAGGCCTAGAAAAATTCAGTCACACAACTTACAGTCCTAGTTTGATCTATGAAATGTGTAGAGGCATTTTTTGTTGTTGTTTACTCTGTGAATTCAAATTGAGTTACAGATTATTCTCAAGCACTATTGGATGACATTTAATCTTACCTTGCAAGCTTCCTCTAGAACTCTCTATTCGTTTGTTTTGGTTCTAGTTCAAAGATCCAAATACAAAATTTCACTCTCATGCTTTTTTTCCAAGAGGCAGGCACTTGGAGCATAGGAAAAACAGTATTCCACTACAGTTTTCACAAGACAGCAATTCAACTTCAGGATAAATTAGTAATGGCAGCTATCTTCCAAATGTCAAAAAGGCACTACAGAATATATGCTATGGCTTATTTACTAAAAAAGACACATGAAGTCCCATATGAATTTTAAGACTTTTTTTAAAATCATGTAGTAGGCAACAAATAATACACACTTCACAGCACAAAATGAAATGGGAAAAATTAATTCACAGCAGGAAAATGATCCTATCTTTTTTTTTTTTTTTCATTTTATGCTAGTCCACAAAGCCTTCCCAAAGGGTTTGCACACTTGGTATGAGCAGGCAGATACGATGAACAGAATTTGTTTGAAAATAATTAAGAACTCTAATAGCTGTAATCCTGATCAGCATCACTTCAGTTGTTTCAAGTGAACTAGAAAAAAAAAAGTTTTTTTACACAAATGTTTCATTTATCTCAGCAAGAAATGCCAATAACGTACATGAAAATGCGAAGGAATTGCTTTAGAGCAAAGACTGCAGAATCCAAAAGCAAATTCTCTCTTTTTGTTGCACACATGGTTCTCATGCACTTATCTTAAGCTGACATTACACAACCTTCAACTGCCTGGAGCCTACCCTACTTGCTCAAAAAAAACATGTCTGCTGTGGGGCCAATTATTTCTGCTAGTCTCCTGTCAGTGTCTCTGACATGCAGGTCACCTGAAGTGTTAAGGCAACTTGATCCAGCCCTCAGTGACAAGATAATTACCATTAATAAAAAAATGCATGTATTACGTATGTATTTTCAAAGCATTTCCATTCAAAAGTAATGAAGTGCTTCTGGATACCTCAAACTTCTAAGTGTCACACTGAAATAATGAGCATCATCCCCACAAGGAATAGAGCATCACCCAGCACCTGTGCAATCAGTGGAAATATATTGCATCTTCTTGCTTCTCCCTGTTGAGCAACGTGTTTGCAAGCTCATGTAATGCTCTACAGAAGTGTTATGGTAGCTCACTAGTCATTAGTGTCCCCTGTGTATGTGGAAAAAAAACCCAACAGTTCTGCTTATTTGTACCCTTATCTATCCACATTACTAGAGTAATCCTGATGAAAATTAATGCAGTTAAATTAGTTGTATTGCTCCAAGTATGTCTTCACTATGCTTCTTAAATCTATTGTCACAAGCAAACTCCAGATAGCTTAATAACTCCAGGAACACCAATCAGCGATTCAAGTCAGAGAGCTCAGTGTCAGTCCACAGGTCTGAGTGCTCACTAGAGCTTATAAAAAAGGGTTGGAAATGACATGTGTAGTTTAATTAGTAATGCTTTCTCTCAGTTTATATTAAATTACTAATACAGAATAAAAAACTGCTAGAGGGAAGAATACTTGAGGATAATGACCACCTTTCAAATCATAAGCATACAAAACGGCTTAGTTTGACAGAGAAAAAGTCGTAAGATTCAGAATTTATTAAAATTTGAAGATTTTGCTACCATGCTGTTTAGAAATTTCTTCCCTTGTAG